CAAAGTATGTATGTACGTATGTATGTATGTATGTATACATGTTTGTATTATGTGTGCATGTATGTATGTAGAAATATAAATACAAAATGACATAATTTGAAAACTCACTACTAGAGTCCAGCAGCACACCTATAGTGTGGCCTCAGGAATTTGTCTACAAATTGGCTGTGTGAGAACTGGTAAATATTTTTGACCTTTATGTACCTCAGTATTCTATTTTATGGATCTTTTTGTTGGTGGTAGTTGGTGATGGTTTTGCATTTTTCTCTCTCTCTCTCTCTCTCTTGGCTTTTATGAGACACAATTTCTTTGTAGCCCTGGATGTCTTGTAAGTCACTCTGTAGACCAGATTTGTTTTGAACTTAGATGTCCACCTGCCTTTGCCTCCCAATGCTGGGATTAAAGGCATTGAGCTACCACCACCCAGCTAATATTCTAATTTATAATTGAAAAGAGTAATAGCATCTAGATTAGAGTCCCTGGCACAGAGCAAAGGTCATGAGAATATTAACTACCAGGCTGATAGGCATTTTCTTTCCTTAGTGACACAGACATAGGCCAGATTAGACCAGATTAAAAGTAGATAAAAGCAGGTTTATTAGGAGGCAACTCTCAGGTTGGTTCACCAATCTCACAGGTGGAGATCAGTGAAGTCAAACATCTGGGCTAAAGCAACGGGGTTTTATAGAGCTTATGTGAGGAGTGATGGTGTGCCAGCTAGGAGCTGGAATTGTGTTCACACATGGTCAAAAACTGAGCCCCTGGGTGGAGACTCTTGGGTGGGTTGTCAGAAATGTGGAGATAGGGTGTGATGACATGTTAGCCTGAAGCGTTCTCCAAGTGGGCAGGAGAGTTTTCTCTTATGGGCAAGGTTGGGAGAAGAAGGGCAGATGGGGTTTTGAAGCTTGAACAGGGGATGAGCAGGAGTTCCAACATAACGCATGTGCATAATTCAGAAATTCAAAAATGGCTCAGTGCTAAAAAAAATAATAAACCAAAATAATACATTAAATTAATATACATAAAGTTTTGCTAAAATTCTCAATTCAAATGTTTACAAGCTTAACACTTGAAGCTTGCTCTGTTCTCAATAGTGCTACAAGGTCTCAAATTCTATACATACTCTCCTCAAAGACTGTTGCAATGCCAGACTCCTGGGTTTGATTTAAAACATACCCTCGATGAGTTTGTCCCTATGTTTGTAATTAAGATTTCTTATTTTACATTCAATCCATCATTGCAACTAAAAGTGGTGGCAGGGTTTGAAGCTGATGTTTCTTAAAATAAAGAGTAAGTTGAGGCCTATTTTCTGCATATGTGACTATTATTGGTATTAATATTAGTTTGGAGATTATATCCCTGGCAGACCAAAGAAGTCAGGTTCATTTACCATACTCAGTAAGCCAAGTGAAAGAGCCAAATTAATCGTAAAAAACAGAAAAGGGAGATTTATTCAATATAGTCATATTAGAAATAGGGACAAAGAGATCCGGTGATCCCTAAGTCTATTTTCAGGGTCCAGGTATAAGATTAAAATTTAAAAATTATGATGGCCAAGCACTCCTAGTCAAGGTATGGTCCCATTCATCTTTAATCCAAAATCATCTTGACTCTAGTCTCTTCTCTAAGTTCATGTCAAGACTTGTCAGAATTTTGTGAAATTCCTCTTGGGGAAGCAAATCTCTCCTCTGGCTAACATCAGGCCACCCTTTTCTTTCTCCAAACATGAGATTCCTGGAGGAAATTCTAATCTACTGGGATACTTTGTTTCATTGTCTGATAGCCAAGGGGGTAACACAAGAGTCAGTCTAGGATCTCCTCACTCCTTCTAGGTTTGTATGACGGTGGCATGAAGTTGTAGACACGGGTGTTACTTTAGGTTACATGAAAGATGAAGAGAACATTGATCTAGAGGTGAGACATGTCTGTCCTTACAGAGAATTACTAGACAGTGAGGATATTGTTGCTTCCCAGAACACACTGACTGGTTATGTCTGATTGTTCAGTGGCTTCTGACAGTGCCTCTTGGGAACTAGTACCTTTGGAAAAAAGAATCTGTGAGAGCCTCCCACCAAAGCATGGCATCAGTTGTGTGTGAACGTCCACAGTGTCTTGTTACTGGGGTCGTATGTAGTGAATAAATGACATGACGCTTCCGTGTCTTGGCATTCACACAGCCCATAAGGTTTCTCTAGCAGTGAGGTGAGACCACATTGTCCGAGCATTGTATAGCTCCCAATTTCCTCCATTCTTCTGTTTTATTTTTTTGATGCCTGTTACTAGGTAGTTTTTATTTATTTATCCATTTTTTGAGATTACAATATAATTAAAATATTTCTCCCTTCCCCTTCTTCCCTCCAAACAGTCCCATATACCCCTCCCTGCTCTTCAAATACATGGCCTCCTTTTTTATTACTTATCATTATATTCCTAAATATAACCTACTCAATCTATATAATGTTACTTGCATGTATGTTTTCAGGACTGACTTTTGGCACTGGACAACCAATTGATGTACTTGTCTCTGAGGAAGATTGTGTCTCCCACTTCCAGCTTTCCTCAGTTGCCTCAGTTGTTCCTTGTGTAGGGTTGAGGCCTCTCATTTCTTTTTTTCCTCATGATTCAGCCAAAACAGACCCTCTCCTGGTTCAGCACTGAACCGCTCCTAGAACTGGAAATGACTCTTCTGACTTCCTTAGGTGGTACCTTAATCAGGGAATCTGAGGAAATTGAAGTATCCTTACTCATAAAGATTAGAAGGATGATCTCCTGGGCAAGGTAAGGGAAAGGATATTTTTCACTATGCAAGCTGAGAGGTCACCCAAAAGCGGTCAGCTTCCTTTTCTCCTTCTACTCTTCCTTGAACTGGAAATGGAGGTTGTAACTCTCCTAATGAACAGGCTCCTCTCTCTAGACCCAGTGGTGGCAATCCTGGAGTCTGTCTTTAGACTCAGTATCTCTTAGTCTCAGCTGAGCACTGGACACCAGCACCCAGGACTAGGAACTGGCTCCCTTTATTCTTTACTTTCTCTGTGTTAGTAGACCAAAGAAAATGCCAGAGAATTGTGACAAATTTCAAAATACATATTCTTGACTTAAACAAATGTACCTTAGTAGACTAGGGCTATAGTTAGTGGCTGTGTAGTACATGGCAGCCTACATTTTATCCCCTACAAAAATAACTGAAAATAAATCTTAGAAAGCTAAGAAAGAGAGGGTGCTTCACTACATTGTTCCAATGTATCTCTTAGAAACGTAAAACATGTGATTTTAAAAAATACAAAATTGGCCTTACTGTGACATTTTCATACATGTATAATTTGTGTGTTGCTATGTGTTCATCTCTTGGTCTCTTTCCCATCTCCCACTGCTCCCTCCCTTCCACCAACTCCCCTATCTGATTGTGTGTGTGTGTGTGTATGTGTTAGGGTATGTACACAAATGTACAGAGATATATTAAATATAGTTTTTACACAAAAGAAAAAGTAGAACATTTTTTCTGAGTCTGTCTTAGTTCACCCAATATATTGATTACAGTTCTTCAGTTTTCCTGAAGATAATTCTGTTGGTTTTTATGTTAGAATACAACTCAATTTTCGACATATGCCATGCTTTCTTTGTCTATTCGTCTGTTGATGAACACTTAGGCTGATTTTATAACTTAGCTTTGTGAATATTGACACACTAAGTAGGGATATACAGCTATCACTGTGTTATATGAATTCAGAACCCTTCAGGCATCTATTCAGGAAAGATGTGACAATAAATTTTCACTGGTGAAGTATTAGAAATTCTCTTATGACACATTAGGACCATATATGTGTATGTTTATAGCCTTCAGTGGATGGCCCCACATCCATGCATACATGGACAGCACATGTACTAAATGAATTTAGTGGTTTAAGAAAAAGACATGAAGTTGGGAGGTAGATGTGTAGTGGGAAATTGAGAGGTGTTAGAAAAAGAAAATGAGGCTGGGTGTGATTATATGTAATTAATACACATATGAAATTCTCAAATTTTATATATATGTATATAAAATATTGATGATTGAGTATATGATCAATTTTTAAAAAATCATTTCCCCCAAACCAATAATAGCTCAACAATTGAAAAATGTTTTCAAAAACAATGTAGTTACAATAGCAAGTAATGTCATAAAAAAAATAGACCTAATAGGAAATAGGGCAATGTCAACTTTTAAAGCTTTAGACTGTTGATCTATAAAACTGAGAATATGTATCTTTTTCTAGCTCTTTGATCTCTGCAAACCCTCAACAGCTTATATATTGAGTCCTCAGCACACAGGTGGAAAGACCAGCTTGGCAGCTAATATTCATGAAAGTGTATAGCAGTTCTCCAACTGGCTGTTCCTGGACTTCCTTTTGCCCAAGAAAAGATGGAAATATGGGAAGAGTATCAAATGTGAGGAACACAGGAGACTTCTAGAGATAAGGCATATAGGTAGCTGTCCCCTCAAGGCATAGTTACACCCCTATGGATATCTGGAGTATGGATCATGGTCACATTCCACATAGCTGAGACTAGGGTGGATCCCATAATCCATCCCATGCATTTGAGAGTAGGATGACTCATAGAAACCTGTGCCTTCCGTCACACCTCCACCCATGGCACAGTAGATATCATCCCAGTGGCTGAGTAGGAGTGAAAAAGATGATGTCACTCCTCAACCTGGACCATACGGGCGCAGATCTGGAGTTACCTTGACCCCAGCACGGATGTCATGTTTTTCCTAATACCTTTTTAGCTCCCATGCCTCTAATATGGTTCTGGGGCACACTTAAAGATTAAATGTTATCTAATAATAAATGTTATCAGTGCTTGTCAAGGTACTTGGTATGAACCATGTGATCAGTCTTTGCAGTAGTAACTGTTATAAGTAATGATTTTGGTAGGTTGGGAAAATGTAATGATTACTTTATTTGCACATAGTGAAGAAATAGGCTCAAAGAAAATAGCCCAGAAGACAACCTAACACCTGGAATGCAGTTGATTTTAATGGAATAGCTGATTGCGTTCATAAGAGGAGAAAATAGAGTTCAGTTAGTGTCATGAATGCCTCAGTGATGTAAAGTGAAATGAGATTGTGTCTGTTAGCAGGAAAGTACTTGATTTAGGGTCTGGACTGGGAAAGTGATTCTCTCAAAACCCAGGGTGGCTGCTGTTAAGTCAAGAGGTCAAGTTGGCACCTCCAGTCCCAAAGAGGGGGCCATACATGCCAACCAGGGAGGTTATGTTTCCCCAGTACTGTGCTGTAGCCCTACCTGGTTGTCTGGCTTCTTAGAGACAATGTTTGCCTTGAAAGCCATGGATACAGATGGCACTGAATGTGGCCTACATCCACATACTAGGCATTTCACAGAAATCCCCAATGGCTATCTTTTATGTTTAACCTGGACTTCTAAATCTCGGGACATTGAGTTGCAGAAGAAGGGTAGAAGGGTCATGGAGCAAGCATTTTCTGTGTAATTTGGAGGGTCCTTTCATGCTGCATCTTCATGGCCACCATTTATAAATAAAGACTGGACAAGGTGAGGAAAAAGGAAGTCTCCATCCATCTTATGATGAAGGCCAAGGTTGACAGTGGCTGCCTTGAGTGAATGCTCTGATGAGACTCTAGGGGAGCACTCAGGATTACTAAAGAATATGGAGAAGAGTTTGGGGCCATGTGGGAGATAGGATGACTAAGGATGCTTCTAATTCTGATGGTCACAAGTAAATTTTCTTGAAAGGTAGTTGCAGGGTCTTACAGACCAGATGGATCATCAGGATAGAAGCTTAAAGACAATTTGAGGTTTTATCTTTACATCTAATTGCTTGATCAAAATTCACAAATGGCCAGACGGTACTGCAGGCAGCCCTTATCATTCCATTTCCCATCTGTATACATTTCTACACATTTCTCTTTGCCCCGACCTCTGGGCTCTCCTGGGTACCAGTTGGTGTAGTTCACAGAAGCCCCATCCAAGTAGTGGAAGTCTCCAGGAGTCTGGTCTTCAATTACACCCAAGTAGGCATAGGTGTTATACTTCTTTGCAATGCTTGCGATGGCCTCGTTCTCCTCAGGACTCCTCGGAACAGCAATGTCGCCACCTGCTCTGGTACACATCTCTCTAATGGTATCAAAGTTGACTGACTGCCCATTGGTGGAAAAGACTTTATCCCCCACAGACAGCATGGATCCTTGCAAGCTGAGGACTAAGCAAAGGGGTCTGGGTTAGAGCCACGGACCCCTGTTTCTCCACCTATCCCACTGACTTAGGCTCTCACCCTTAAGCTTTCTACACACAATCTCTCCATCTCTGCTTTTCTCAGTGTTTTCTCATTCTTTTCCAGGCCTAGTTTTAAAATCCATCTCTCTGTTCTCATTCACCTAACAATTACTTATTGGTAGAATCTATACTTTCATGCTTTCCAGTGATAGCGGGAGGAAAGCCTTTCTCTAAGACCCATGTCCACACTCATTTGCTAAGCACTTATGTTCTGGATTCTGGTACTGAAAATTATAGGGAAGAACTGAGAGTAGTGTGCTTGGTGGGACACCCCCCCCCAAGCAGTCCCTTTACCTCCCATTGTTTGCAGAATCTGATGTTTGATCTCGTAGAGTTCAGCCTGGAGCTCCTCATCTAGGTAAGCGGGAAACCCTGTGGAGGTCACACACATCCAGGATAGAGGGCAATCTAGCAAAGAGCTCCACTTGCTACCAGACAGCTATTCTGTCAGCTGCAAGGCTAAAGTTCTGTCATCTAATGCCATACTAAGAGCCCATGGCCCAGTTTCAAGAGCCCAGAAGCAGAGTTTCCATACTCATACACACCCATCTCTTAATATAGCTTGAACCTGCTCAGCTTTCCTGTTCTATTTTTCTGTATCCCTTGACTGGCCCTTCATGTCCATTTATGTCTTTTTCTGGCTTATGAAAAAGACCCCCTCCCATGTACTCTACCAAGATCAACAATGAGGACCTCTGAACTCTCCAGATAGGCCACTATACTGATCCATACCCTGGAGCTTCTATCAGCATGTGGGATTCCTGATCACACTGTCTGCCTGGATTCCAGGTCCATGTAGCCCTCTCTACTTTTTGAGTGTCCAGAGCCTCAGTTCTAAGAAGGACCCCTAGGCTTCCTGATGCTACTCCCCTTCCCCTACAGGACACTAAGTGTCTCTCCATCAGTAGCCATGATGCTTGTCAGTCTCTGAAATAAGGTATTCACATTCATGTGGTTTCTCTCTTCAAATTCATACTTTCTTACTTAGGCTTAGCCATGTGTCTCGAACCCTCCCTTCCATCCCTCATGTGACATCACTACTTTCTACTGGCCCTGGTCTTGCTCACCTGGAAGGCCCCTTTCTCCAGGCTCTCCCTTGTCTCCATGTTCTCCAGGTGCACCAGGGGCTCCAGGAAGCCCATCGCGTCCAGGAAGACCTGGCATTCCTCCAGGAGGACCCATGGGACCTACAGAGTGAAGAGAACACAGATATATGGACCTCTATTAGCATGCGGTGACTCACTTATCCATCCACAGGAACTCTGAAGACATATGCTCCAGCTTAAGGACTCCAGAAAAGTCCCTTCAGCTAAAGCCCTAGACAGATGGTCACCCAGAAAACAGGTCCCTATCCCTGAGCTAAGGATGGGTTCTCCCATACAGTACCTGGAGGTCCAGGATCTCCTTTGATACCATCTCTCCCATCTCTGCCAGGCAAACCATGGTTTCCAGGAGTGCCAGGGATCCCAGGGCTTCCGGCACAAACTTCTGTCCCATTGCACTTGATACCAGCAACAACAGTCAAGAAGAGGGTGAAGGCCAAAGAACCTAGTGACATGGCTACCGTACCAGTGGCTTCTCCTGCAGGAGGGAAGGACCACCAGCCAATCTGTAGCATTAGTGCAGCTCTCCTCTGATCCCCATTCCTGCTGCACTTTGTAGGACCCAGGAACACAAAAAAACATGACCAGCAGATATAGCCAAGAATAGCAAGAAGACTCAAATTATTCCTAGTCAGAAATCTCCAGCACCATCTGGTGTCTAACCCAATCACTGCAGGCCTCTGACTTCAGATCCCTGAACAGAGGAGGAGCACTCTGGTGAGTCAGAGGCCTGAGTTCTCTGAAAATTCTTGTCTGTTATAATTTTGCTGTGTTGCCTCAGGGAACTCACTGTACCTCTCTGACCTTAGCTAATCCTGCTGTGCTCTGTAGACAATTCTAATAGGGTTGTCTATTAGGAGGTGTGTAGTCACCAGGTTACTCTATCCCTCGATATTTTAAGTTATTCTGTTTGGGTTCTCAGATAAACAGAAATGAGAATGGTTCACAGTCCTGCTAAACTGTCATAAGCAGTACCTCTCTGCCCAGTCCGCCCTCAATTAGTATGTGGCTCTTACTGCCAGAAACCCATACACCAGTGGATACCCAGGGGCTGGTGGCTAAGCTCACCTGCACTCAGAGCCTGCAAGCTGTGTGGATATCTGTCTTCAAGTCAGAGTGGACAAGTGGACAGCATCCTTTATAGACATGTAGGCTGATAGCTTTCTCCACCCTCAGAGGCCCTATCACAAAGGAGGGCCAGGCAGGAAGCAACCATCTTGTGTACACAGCTCAGTTTCCTTCAAAGTACTTAACAAGAAGAGCACTTAGAACCCTTGAGGCAAGCACAGAACCACAGAAGGCAAACTCTATGTGTGTGGGAAGGGAATCTTTCTGTTGTCAAGGTTACCCTCTATTCAGAATTAACACTTGTGGTATCAGCACAAAATGAAAGCCTCTCCCAGGTCCTGATGAAAATCTACTACCATTCAGAAAACAAAGCAAACCATCAGAACAAATGAAACTATAACAAAAAAAAATCAATCAGTTACACTAAGCTACTCTATCACCAATGGCCACAGGAAAGAAGCAGAAAGAAAATAATAATGTTGAAAATTAATTTAAAAAATGGGAATAATAACAAGAAGGTAAAATAAAGGGGGATCAGGGAAAAGAAAAAATGAAGAAGTTAGGCTAAATAAAAAGGCATGGGGGTCAAGGGAGGAGAAAAAAAGGAAGAAAACAGCAAAAACACACAAAAAATCCATTTACAAAATAAAAACACACAAAATCAAATAAAGGTAAAAAGAAGAATGGAAGAATTAAAAAATATTTTTCAGAATACAATGAAGTGTGAAGTGGGGCCTGAAGAGTTGTTTCAGTGAGTAAAGCACTTGCTATGCAAGTGTGAGGGCCTGGGATTGTGTCCCCAGGACAACATAAAGCAGGGCTAGGCGGCACCTTGTGTCCCTGCTGTCCTCTGTCCAAACAGGAAGTGGACACAGGAGAACCTCCTCAATCTCCTGTCACCCAGCCTGCAGTGCTCAGTGGCAATGCAGACCCTGTATGAAACAAGGTGGATGGTGAGGACTGACACTCAACGTTGTCCTCCTGCTACCGTATGTGTGCAGTGCCACAGGCATGTCCATACTCACACAAACATGCAAGGAAGACATACAAACTGACACATTAAAAGGGATTCAACACCACTGTCAACCAGGGAAATACAAACCAACACTATAATAGGATGCTGCTATCCGGCCATTCTGATGGCTACAACTAACAAGCAGCAGGTACTGAGCACACAACGAACCTGGAAAGCTCAAACGTTGCTGGTTGGATGGAAAACAGTACAGTGATTTCGGAAGACACCGTGGAAACTCCTCAAAACATGAAACAAAGAATTATTCTTACAATGCAATTCAATTCCTACCTGTATATCTAAAATAACTGAAAATAGGTATTCCAAACCTTGTACACGGCTGTTCATATTGAAAGCCCAAATGTTTATTATCGACTCAATGATGAGCAAACAAAATGTGGCACCACATTATTAACTCATAAAAAAGGATAGAAGTAAACTCTGAAAGTATTTTGCTAAATGACAGGTACAAAAAGCAATATATTGAATTATTCTAATTATATTAAATACCCAGAGTTGGCATGTCATCCGGACAGAAAGTAAATAGTCAGCACTAACAGACAAGGGAGAGAGGAGTTGAGAATGATGGCTTAATAGAGGGTTTCTTTGGGGAAATGATAAAAAAATCTGGAATTAGATAATGGAAGTGGGATAGCATGTAAGGCCATTGGCTCACATGCTTTTGAATGATGGAATTTATAAAATATATATTAATTCTTTTTTTATAACAAAAAGCCTGATGCCTAGTCAATGCATTTAAAAAGGCAGCTGTTTATCTTAGCAAGTCTTACCTATTGTGGCAAATCCTGGACTACAGAATAAAATCTTGTCTCAAAAAGCAAGCAATCACGGGGTTCAAGAGATGGCTCAGCAGTTTAAGAACAGTGGCTGCTCTTCCAAAGGGTCCAGATTCAATTCCTAGCACCCACATGGGAGCTTACAACATCTGTAATGTCCAGTTGCAGAACACCTGCTACCCTCACACAGACATACATGCAGGCAAAACATCAATGCAGGGGTTTTTTTGTTTGTTTGTTTTGGTTTTTCGAGACAGGGTTTCTCTGTGTAGCTCTGGCTGTCCTGGAACTCACTCTGTAGACCAGTCTGGCCTCGAACTCAGAAATCTGCCTGTCTCTGCCTCCCAAGGGCTGGGATTAAAGGCGTGCACCACCACCACCCGGCAATGCAGGGGTTTTTTAAAGTACATATAAATAAATAAAAAGTAAGCAAACAAACAAAGAACTCATAAACAAAAAAAAAGTTTACTTATCAACAACTTACTTAAATGTCAATGGACTAAATATTTCTGAAGTAGATGAATCTGGTGGCATAGATCTATAACACCAGCAATCTAGGAGTCTGAGGCAGGAGGATGGAAGCTCAAGTCTTGCCTGCATTACAGAGTGAATTCAAGGCCAGCCTAGATGACTTAGTAAGAGACTATATGAACAAAATAAAATAAAAAGGTGAAAAGGAGGCCTGGGATATAGGTTTGTGGTTGAGCAGTTACCTATATGACCACCTCCAAAGAAAGCAAGAACCCAGCAGAGACTCACTGTGTCCTTCACGCTCTTCCCAGGAGTAACAGAGTGGCACTGTTTACATCATGGGGTACCAGCCAGGCCCAGGGCGACTGTGGTCCTGGTGAACATGTCAGTGCTGTACAGGAATTATAAAGTTCTAGGATGCCACAGCATATGCTACACTGGAGACATGGGCTGGTGTCCTTAAGCAAAAAAACCCCTGAAGCCCCCAAAAGAGTGTTATCTAAGCTTGTGGCTCTCCACTTCAGACCCTAAAATAACTGTTCTAAGATCAATGGAGACTGGTGCCAGACACTACCCCTAAGCCATCTTCTCCCAAAAGCACCAGGCTTTTGTACCTCAACGCAGACCAGAGGGAAGACAGAGAACATGCACATACAGAATTCACCTTCACACTTAACTGGGCTCCGTTACTTGTTGACCATAGCAACATTGCAACAGGCTTCAGTGATTATATTTGTAAAATAAATTATTGCATTTATAAAACAGTTCTTAAGCAGTTCGTTGCTGCAGGCATTGCACAGAATAGCATTTTTGTGTTTGATCCTATTCTTTAATAAAGCACTCTCTCGACAAAGGAGAAAAAAGAAGCATTATATTGGACAGGAGGGTTCTGAGACGCAGGTACAGTAAAGACCTCCAAGAGCCTTCGGTGGATGGATAGGGAAAGTAACAAATCAATTACAGAGGCGCATCCTCTCTCAGAATGAACAGAACTTTCAAGAGGGCTTTTCCGTCATGAAAGAGTGTTATGTGAGTCAGCTCTGCTCTCTGCTGGTTGCATGGAAAAATGTAGCCAACTGAAGTAAGTGCTGTACAGTCCGATGTTAAAGAGAAAGTGCCCTCCTCGGCCGGTTCCACATTTACAGAGCTCTGCTTTGACTCAGGAGGCCTGATGGGGCAGGAGATGGGGTTACTTTGCTGTCTAATGAATTTCTGTCCTGCTTCTGCTATCCTCGTGACTCGGTCTGAGAGACAGAATCTTTGTTCTTGTGTGTCTCCCTTTGTTGATTCCCTTCTGGCAGATCGGTGCTCGGAACTTGGAAAAGCCTAATGAGAACCACTATCCACCATGGCGTGCCTGAGAGGTATTAGGTACTGGCTAGACCCTTCGTGTCTTCTACATCCATCTCTCACTCACCTCCCAACAGGATCCGTCTTTATTCCCTGTAGTATATAAGGAAACTGAGTCTCAGTACAGCTCTGGTGACTTTCCAGAGATGATACAGCCTGCAAGTTGTGAAGACTTGATCAGACCTCATCTTGCTGGGCCTCTGAAGCTCTGTTTGAGTTTTCCTGAAGACTCCAGTGCAGATTCTGTTCACAATAACCAAAGCCATGAGCCAGGCTTAGAGAAGCCTTTCAACCTACAGGGTGGATCCAGCCTAAGCCTCAGCTCCCAAGACTGTGCACCATATCACACCAAAGCGCTGACCTTACTCATTCCTTGTCCATGGTGCACACAGCCTTGACATGCTTGATTTTAGTTCAGCCAAGCTACTGAGCACAGCAGTACTTACTTCCCAACCTTGGTCCTGAGGTTGTAGATCACAAATTCAATACAGGCTTGCCCAGAGCCTTCAGCATGTGAACTGTAAGGATGGTAGTGGTGTTGAGGCAGGCTCTTGTGAATCAGATGCTCTGAAGAGGTAAAGAAGGGCTGAGGAACTCAAGAGACTACTTATCTTCCCTTCCATGAGAAGCTGAGCTCAGCCCTGCCATAGCCAGTATCCTAGTGGCCACAGGGTAATGACCCTGCTGAAGCCAGACCAGCAGCCTCCCCTGAGCCATCATCATTCCATCCACATGAACTTCACAAACTCAACCTAATCCATCCATAATTGAATCAAACCATGGAAAGATACCAAGAGCTTCTTCTCTTCACTAAGCTACATAAAAGCAGGCTCTTATGATGTTCTCACATTTTAAACATATCTGGCTGAGCTGCTCCCAGATAGTGACATCATATATTTAGAAAAGATGAGCAGTGTCATGTAGTTAAAAATGATTTGTATGTTCTAGAAATAATAATGTGAATAAGTTAAATGGGCACAATTTATTAAATACTATAAGTTTATAATAGTGCTTGGATGCAACTTGAGAGAAAATATACTCTTGTTTCAAAATATTAACTAAAAACATCTATTGATAATTCACAAAACATGCTTACGGGAAAGTAAGAAGATGTACAGAACCTCACATAGAACAGATATTTGGCCCAGTATGACATTCTTGACCTCATATTACTGAACTCATAGCAGTATTTCTCATAGCCTTGACTTTCAATGATGACCCACCTATTGGGTCTCTTCCCATGCTAGCAGTTCCCTGCCAACATCCTTTGCTTCTTCTATGATGCTGCTTGTTTAGTTGTTGTTGTTGTTGTTGTTGCTGCTGCTGCTGCTGCTGCTGCTGCTGTTAGGTGGAGCGGTGTTTTGTTTTCTCAGTTTGGGTTTTTTGTCGTTTTTGTTTATTTGTTTGCTTGTTTGTTTTTGTTTTTCTTCTGTCAACTTGACACAAACTAGGGTGTTCTGGGGAGAGGGAACTCAACTGGGGAAATGACTCTATCTGATTGCCTGTAGACAAGCCTATGGGTATTTACTTGATTGCCTATAAGTAAGCCGTTGGGTATTTTCTTGACAAACAGTTGCTGTGGGGAGTACCAGCCTACTGGGGGTGGTGTCACTCTAGGCTGTCCTGGACTGTATAAGACAGTAGGCTGAGTCAGCCATGAGGAACAAGGCAGTGAGCAGTGTTGCTTCATGACTTCAGTTCTTTCCTCCAGGTTTCTGCCCTGACTTCCTTTTACAGTGGACTACAACTATAAGCTGAAATAAACTCCTTCCTCACTACGTTGTCTTTGGTCATGGTATTTTTATCACAGTGATAGAAAACAAAGGCATCCATATTTTGCTCTGATCTTGACCTATGAGTGTTCCGTGGCTCAAAAGTGTATTTTCTTTCTTACTTTCTTTCTGCACGTGAGTGTATATGGTGTGCGTGTGAATATGCATGTCCTTATGTGTATTCTCACATGTGGAAGCTGACATGGAGAAGTGTCCACAATCACTCTTAACCTTATTTCTTAAGGCAGGGTCTCTCAACTGAACCCAGATTTTGTTGGTATTGTCTAGCTAGCCACCTGGCTCTGTGCTATTTCTGCCTCCATCTTCTGAGTGCTAGAATTAGAGGTGAGCTGCCACATCCACTTGAAACTAACCTGGGTAACGGGGATCAGAACTCTAATCCTTAGGATTGCCACTTGCATAGCAAGCACCTTAACTATATAGCCAACTTCCTAGCCCTTCCCTTTACTTTTGGTGAGAATGTCAAACATTCATGCAATATGCATTTCGATTAAATCCACCCATTTTCCTCCCTTTCACTTTCATCCCACCACTGTTTTTCCCAACTTCGTGTGGAAAAACAAGAAAACACTAACAACAAAAATAAAACAAAACCTAGAGTCCATTTAGTGTGCCTGTATGTGCGTGGATATAGTACCATCTACTAGAGCTCTCAGGGGTTGCATCCCTGAAGGAAACTGACTGTCCCCCAGCATCACCAATTGCCAACCGCTCTTTGCTGGGTGGTGGACCTTCATGAGCCCCTCTCCCACCCATGCTGGAATTCTAAGCCCTTCACTTTTTTCCTTTTAGTAATTGCTTTTCCCTTTTTTTTTTTTTATTCATAAATCTCCATCCTGCAAATAGGGATCCCAAGATGTTTCATGGGGGCCTTGCTGCTCACAGAGGTTCTTGAAGAATGTCACTTTTCTGTGAAGTTACTAATCTTCTGACCCTAGAACAAGAGGCTGTTCTAAATATAGAACCAACCACACCCAAGGCCACCTGAGACCAAATATCTTTGGCTATTGTTGCCTTCTGTCCTCTTCTCTCAGCAACAGGCCTGGGTCTCAGTTAGACCCCAGTCCTTACTGTCACCTAGGTCATAGGAATAAGGAGCAATATTGACCTGCCCGTCAGCCTGTTTCAAGCACATGTCCCAAAATTGATGCCTTCCCCAATACTTCCTCCTAGGAAATTGCAAGAGTCCCAGCTCCACACTTGCTTCAAACAGAGCTCCAGGACTTGATGGCTGCAAGAGGAATTACTAAGAAACCTTAGAGGACATGGAGCAAATACAGTAACTCACTGACAGTGCAGGAGCGAGTCAGTGAGTAAATGTCAGTTCACAGGTGTTGGAGGGAGTTCCGTACAGGTCAGAGCTGAGGTAATCCTGAAAACAGCACCCAGCTTTTCTGGGGGTAGGAGAGTCAGAAGTGCTTCACGGTAAAGCAGCTCAAGTTTTGCAAACAAAACCAAGTAAAGCGGGTCTGCAAAGATCACTTAGTGGAGTAGAGCACTTGCTGTACAAACATGAAAACCTGGGTTCAAATCCTTAGCACCCATCTGAAAAAGCTGTGTGTGGCCATGTGCACGCCTGTCACTCCAGCATGGTGGTGGTGACGGATGAAATAGGAGGCTCACTAGGGCTGGCTGGCTACCAGCCTAACTCCAGGTTCAACGAGAGACTGTCTTAAGGGAGTTAGACAGAATATGATGGAACAGGATACTCAGTGCCCCAGTGCCCTCCCTTGGTCATACACGCACACCCCACCCTTGGTCATACACACACATATACACACCCCACCCTTGTTCATATACACACACACACACACACACCATAAACTGCAAGTACAGAGTCGTTGCTCCTTGAGTTTTTATTCACCATACTATCATCAGGTAATATTAACAAATAATGGCTTTGTTTCATATGGAATGTTGAAAGAAAAAAAGGATCATGACTTTTAGGGTTAGAGCAAGTATACCACTCTGGATTTTTATTTAGATAAAGCTTAAGTTACAGGAATGCAGCCTTCTGTGCACCCATCCTTCCTTCCCTCTGCTGGGAGGAACGTGGCTCCCAGGCAGCCATGAACCCTATGGAGAGAGACCCAAGCTTCTATATCACACACAGCTTCAGAATCCATTGGCCACTGGGAAACAGCTTTTCCCTCTGCTGTTTCCTTACCCTAGTGGAAAGGGGAAAGCTGGGTCTCGGTCCAGTCAAGGCACAGATGCGAGGTGTCTGCTCAGCCCTTCTCCTAGCCAGAGCCATCACTGTGACCCAAGTCTTTTCCTGATCCCATGTTCTTTGGAGCTAAGAAGGCAGGATGCTATGGGGAGGCCCCAATGAGGGACAGGTTAGATATGTGGCATTGATCATGATGGGACACCTAGAAACACGTGGTTCCCAGGACCCTGCTGGACAGACATGTCCTGCAAAGGGTACCTGGTAAAAGCCAGTTCTTGTGAGATTTTGGGCAACTTGTCGACTGCTTGGAGGCTGGCTCTATACCTTGATCACTCACTTCCCCAGCAGCATTTAGAATACATAAGCATGAGGGTCCAGGGAAGGAGGAAGCCTTGAAGGGGGCAGGGCCCCCTATTAGAGGATAGTAGTCTGTGGTGGAACAACCAGCTGTCTGTCCTCTGTGAGGAGGAAAGCACATGTGGCTGTCTATGATTAGAACTCATGCCCAGAGAACTCACACACCTATCTTTGAGTGTTAGGGAATAGGACCATGAAGCTTCTTCTTAGTTCCAGACTCCAGCCCAGCTTGATAGGCCAAGATACCCAGCTTTCCTTAAGCCCTCTTCCAGAACAAATGAGACACTTATATGTTTCCATTTTGATTCTCTGGAACATGATAGTGGCTCACCAAAAGCCACCAGGCTCATCGCCTAATTCTCAGGAAACCCAGGCCTTAAATAAGAACCCATAGCCTCAAGACAATCCACTTGTCATCACTCTGGTCAGCATCTTGTTTGGGATACAGATGTGAGGGTTAGAGTCAAAACTCCTAGATCCATTTCTTGGCTCTGAAACATGCGGTATGGAAACTTTTCAGAGCTTCATAGACTCTCTGAGCTTCTCTTTCCCATCTGTTACTGTGGGTAATAAAGATACCACCTTATTGTGCTGTGATGAAGAACACATAGCTCGGTCTCTCACACATTGTAATGCTCAGGGGACACTGACTGTATTTTATGTGGCAGATGCCCAGTCTCAGAGGAGCCCTGAGAGAGCCCTGGGTCAGGATCTCTGGCTGCAAATGTGAAGGGGAAGCCAGAGGTCTGTGCAATCTATTCATCTGGGCACATGTCCAGGACAGAGAAAGAGATGGCCTGGTCAGGTTCCGACTATGGGAGGACATGAGGGAGGGGCTTCCTGCCAGTCAGGAGTAACTTTTACACAAAATTAACATTGCTGTCATCTGAGAGACAGGCAGGGAATACTGACTATCCTTGCAAGGAGACATGATAACCTAGCACCAGAAAGCCACCTGCCATGTCATTCATAAGATGTTTGCAGATTGCTGGATAGGGGGAAATTACAAGAATCGCCCTGATGGTGGGAGGCAGGGAGGGCACTCTGGGAGAGGCTAGGAGACCAGGGAGTTGAGATCCTGAAGAGGTGAGTATGGGACAAAGCTAAACTTCCCAGCAGCACTAAAACACAAGCTTCTTGGGGACCTCCCAGGGAAACTCGCTTCTCCCGAAGTGGCCGTAGCACGCAGTCTTCTGGTAGATGGGTCTTTTCAGATCCAAGTCCCTGCGCAGTCAGGGGAGGCAAAGATCATTTTTAAATGGAAAATGGTAGTGAGCTCCAGGGGTAGTCCTAGGAGAGACTTTCCCTTCCATACCTGCAACCTATCTATACCGCAGTGCTAGCCTGTTTAGGTTAAGAAGTGGAAGCTCCAAGGTCAGAGACAACTGAGCACTAACACGCCAGGAACAGGATATGAACTCTACCTGAGGTAACTTTCTCTACTCTACTCCACTGGTTTAGCCAAGGCCAGTGCTCTCGTGCCGAAGAACCAGAGAATCAGGATGCCATGATAGCATGTAGGAATGGAAGTGCCTACTGGCTTCCTAGACATCTGGCCTGGATGCTCCAACTGTTCAAAGATAGACTCATCAGGGCTAATATCTGCTGGACTTCCTTCTGCTTAAAAGCAGACAACCCACATTGGGGGCATGTACTGGTCAATAAGTCCAGGCACTGTGCTGAGGGGCCAGGCACTTGAGACCCTCCTGTTGTGTTTGAAAAGTCCTTTCTGTTTGGGTGTCCTCCTGAGTGAAGGAGTGGGAAGGTCCCAGGCCAACAGCAGCATGATGGCACTTTTACCTGACAATAACACCAGGCCGGAGGTCAAAGTTCTTGTTCACCACCTCTAGCAGCTCCCGCTCGGTCTTCTTGGAGGTCCCGTAGGTGAAGATGGAAATGGACAGAGGTTCTGCCACACCAATGGCATAGGACACCTTCAAGAAAGATGTGGCTCAGGCACTGAGCCTCTCACAGACTTTACAGTGCAGAGGCACCAGGTACAACACTTCTGCCAACAGGACCCCTATCTCTCCTGCCCAGCAGCCCTTTGTCTTCAAGTATGCTCTCTCCTTCCCTAGTTTGCAAGAGCTCCACCCACAGTAGCCAGTGCAATATATGCAGAGATGCAACCAATGACAAGAAGGCGGCTTTCCCACTGGGCTGCTATCTCCCTACTCCAGGCTGGGCTGGGGTCTTCAGTAAGGACAGGAAGGAAGGATTAGAGTAGGTGGGGACAACCTACCTGAACAAGCACTCTCCGACAGAGTCCAGCCTTTACCAGGGACTTGGCCACCCAGCGAGCAGCATAAGCTGCTGAGCGGTCCACCTTGGTATAGTCCTTTCCAGAGAAGGCACCACCACCATGGGCACCCCAGCCTCCATATGTGTCCACAATAATCTTGCGGCCTGTGACACCTGCATCCCCCTGCAGAGGGAGACAAATGGTCAAGAAATGAAACCACTAATACTGAACGCCAGATTGGGCAGAAGAAACTACGCTAAGTCTCCTGTGAGCATTCTCAAAGGCCCCTTTAATCAGGCAGAAACCATGAGTTCTCTCATCTCAGTTCTTCCTGGCACTGACCAGCTCTAAACATCAGGCAACCTGTCAAAGCCTCGTTGGAAAGTTCAGGAGATGGGCCAGAGGTCATGTGGGGTCATGCCTTCACTTTTGAGTCCACCATAAGAAGCCATCCACCTGCAGTAGGAATTGTACTGCAATAAATACAACTCTGGGCTGTCATCCTGGTCAGTGCCACCATGTGGCTCACTTCATAAGTGTGTTCTGTGTAACAGCAGTTCCAAAAAAACGCCTTTAAATGGAGCTAGATTTAACAATTTGGGGAGAATCCAGTAACTTTAAGCCTATTTAGAGAATCACACTTTGTACTTACTTATCTAGACTTTGAGACATCCTTCAAGAAAACAAGGAATTTAACCTTCTGCCTTATTCCAACAATATTTGATCATAGGACCTATTATGGGGGCTCAACCTTGTGATAATACCCTCAGTTCTTCTAATCCCTACCTCCATAGTCCTATGTACATATAGCTGTACCTGCTTTTATAAAACTCACCTCTGCTCTCCTGACAATAATAGCTGGAGACCCCCATAGCAAATTTCCAGCAAGTACTACCTGGGAAAGTCATCCATGAGCAAGCACTACAGAGATGAGTGAGTCCATGACCAAGTAGGGAGACATGACAGTGGCTGTGGCAGGCATGGGCTGGGTGGGAGGGCTTGACAGCACTAAGTGGTAGACTCTTATGAACATGTCCCTCTTCTTTCCATATTGACACATATAGAGTGTTTTCAATGTCAGCCAAAGTTCACTGAGCACAATTAATCCATGAGCAGACACTGCTGAGATACTCAGAACTACATCTTGTCATCTGTGTACTCTGGGACACGAGCAGTCCAGTCATCAAGAGCCAGCAACAGGGCCTTATCTAGGGACAAATACGCACCTGGGGACCTCCAATGACGAACCGCCCACTTGGCTGCAGGTGGTAGACAGTATCTTCATCCAGGTACTTGGCTGGCACCACAGCTTTGATCACCTGCTCCTTCAGGGCCTCTCGCATGGCTTCCAGCGTGATGTCTTCATTGTGTTGCACAGAGATGACGATGGTATGGATGCGCACAGGGATGACTGCACCATTATCCTGCACGTACTGAACTGTTACCTGTCCATTCGAGGAGATTCTGTGAGACCATGCCTGAGCTGAGGACACATGGCTGTCAGGCACAAATCTCCAGGAGGCAGCCTGAGCTCTCAAGGGGCCAAGAGAGTCCCATTGTCCCTAAAGACTCTTTGGAGAGTGAATATGGCACATGCTTACATTTGTTAATTTGCTCAGTACTATGATGATAGCATAAGGCATACGTATGTGGCACTAGCTTTCAGCTGTGATGACCAGAGACTGCTAGTGCTAATGACCTTCTCTGGCCAAAACCCTCTGGCCACTTCCCATGGACATCCCCCACTTCTGTGAGTGAACACAGGATTTCATTGGCAGAGACAAGGGTACCTTGGTCCTAGAATGTGAAGGACCAAAAGGACCTTTAACCAAGGCTATATTTGTTGCCATATAGAACCTCTGAGACAGAGAGAAGGAGCCTGGCAAGTGGCCCTCTGCCCTTAGTAAAGGATCCTGGAAGTACATTGGGACCAGCAGACTTTGCCATCTTTATGGACAAGATGAAAGATACTCTAGTCAGGACTGTTAAGCTAAAAGGACAGGAAGCTCTGAATCACCATTGTCTTGGTGCTTTGCCAAAAGAAGGAAGAGTGGTGTACACTTGGGTAGGAATCAGAATCCTGCTTAATAAATATTTATTTCTACCATGTCCAGTTCTGTTCCCATCCTGTGTATTATCAATTAAGATTGAAGATATTACAGTGAGGGAGGTGCCATGCCCCACCCACTTTACAAATGACATAAATTAAAAGATCAGAAATTGTTTGACATTATAGTCAGTTTGTGAGAAGCCCAAGATCCAGACCTTGCTCAAGCTGAACCAAAGCTTATCAGTCCCACTGTAGCACAGACAAAATGTTCGTAGGGACTCTGCCCTCTAATGACATGTCACTGGGCACAGATACATGATATCTCAGGTGGCAAGGAAAAGCAGGTAGGTCCCCTTAGGTTTGCAAAGTGGAATGGTTGGTGGGAGGTTAGCAGATGAGGAGGTCCAGAAAGAAGCAATGGGTGAACAACCTTTCATGCTAGAAGCCATGCTATAAATTGGTCACCATTTTTGCCCATTCTATAGACAACAAAGCTTAGGTACCACAATGGAAACACTTTGGTCAAGATCACACACAAGAGCTGAGTCCTGATCCAGAGATTTATAGCCAAGGCTCTGTTTAAAAGAAAGTTGCTACTTAAGACCATGAACCTATGCTGAATGACAGAGTCCATGCTCCCCAAGACAATATGTACCTATCAGAGCAGTATCCACACAGCTTATGGTCATGAGATGCTCACAGCAGTGTGCCTATACCAAAAACCTAAGTAGGGGTCTGGCTGGCTGACTAGGTGACACAGAATAGTTTTCTATCCTAACCCTACAGCAAGCAGTCCCTTGCTGGAGCTGTGCTGAAATATGGTCTCTGCTTGGCCAACATGTGTTAGGCAGTCATACAAAGCCATCTGTCACTTTCCAGTCTTTCAGCTAAGATCAAGTACAGCTAGTGGGGTACATATCAGAATTCTGCTCGGTGTCCTGCTGGTCCAAAATGCAATAGAGAGACATCCAGAGGAAGAGGCATAAAAAAGCCTGGCCACCTACCATCTGACCCTACTGTGATAGGCAGGTCACAATCATTGAGGACTAACAGTTAAATCCTATGCTGTCCACACATGGGAATTATCTTCATATAGGACTCCACAAGGGGGAGCTGGGGTGGGTATAGGGACTTCCAAGAGAGGAGACCCTTAGCAGGCTGTAGAATCAGAATTATCTCATGTAGCCTTGGGAGGAGGTTCAGTCTTGAGGCAATTCCCCAACCTAGCTGTTTTCCACTGAGCCCTGATGTCTCTGTCCCCACTGGGCAAATACCAGGCTTCATCTTTGCAGAACTCCTGGCAGAGAAAAGGCCCGAGCTCTGCTCTTATCTCGTCATGTCAGCAAATATGGAGAAAAACACACTATGGAAAACAGAGCTCTGACCTGGTACAAAAATAGCCACTGGACTGCCAGACCTGATTCTCAGTATCAGCAGCAGCAATTTGTTCAGGTGGAAAGACTCATCCTGGTCACAGTCAACACAGGTGACAATGAAAATCCTTTACAAAGAGGCTGTAGAAGAGAAGGCTTGCTACTGTCCTGGCACAGAACTCTCTGCATAGAGGCAGACCTAGGAGGCAGCTGGGCTGTCCAGTGTCTTGTGACCCCCTGTGATAGGCATATATACTGGACTCTTACAGAGACTCAGTGCATCCTCTCAGGAAAGAGAATCCCATTAGACTCCCTCTTTCCCTTAGTGCTCCTATGACTTGGAAATCTCTTTCTTGTGCAGGGAAATGAATGAGATCTTTCTTACTGCAGCTACAGTAGCTCAAAACATTCCCTCTGTTCCTCTCTTAGCAGAGGGAAAAGAAACGTCAGGGGGTCTGTTGTCTTTTGCCCACCTCTACTCTGAGACTGTCTTTTCTAAGCCCTTTCTTTTGATACCACCACAGTCTATATGTTAGCTCTTCTGTCTCAAAACCTCCAGGAATACCTGAGAGATGCTGGTGGCCCTGACTCTACCTTGAAAATCATATGAACAGCACAGAATGCCCTAAGAAAATGTTCTATTAGGACCATAAGCACACTCAGTTGCCCCAAGTGGAGCCAGTGTGATACTTCTGCCCAGAGAGAAGGATTCATTTTGGTGGCTGAAATAACTAGACACAGCTTGATGCTCTATAATGGGCCATAAAAGCATTGATAGCAATTGCAAATACAAGAGAGAGAAAGAGCAAACAGTCTGGTGGGGGCCACAAGTGGCATTCACAAGGAAATGGGCATTGCTGTCCTCAAAGAAAAAACACAAATAAGACAAAGGATGGTATACAAGCCCTATGACCTAAGGATAAGCCTAGTGGGATGATGTTGGTGAATTGGAGACGTTAAAAGGGGAGGGGGGGCTGGCAAAGGAAAGTTCTAGTGGGATACCATGAAAGTCTGAATTCTGGAATGACAAGTGGATTCTGCCCTCCTCTCACAGGAATAAAAACTTACATAGAGAAGAATTCTGAAGAGGTGGTGAAGATGAGGAAAAATTAACTGCAGTTCTCAAACAGGGAGAACCTTTTGGGGGCACAGAAATCTATTGCTGGCTTGGATGAAGAAGTAGGGACCAGTCCAGGAAAGGCTGGGCTACGGTGAGAGGGATACTCATCTGGGGAAACATGAGGCACTAGTACCATGAAGACAGATGGCACTAAGCAGCCCTGGGGAATGTGTTGTGCTCCACTCAGTCCTCTGCTGAGTAAAAGATGACAGTGAGCAGCATGTGGTAGGCTCTCAGCCTGTGAGCCTACAAAGTGAGTAAGAAATGAGGCTGCTGATGTGGAGGGACCAGGGTGGGAAGATTGAGGAGCCAATGTGTGAAGAGGTAGAGAAAACATGTAGGGGAAGATGTGCCAAGACCTTGGGACATCACACTTTGGAACATGGAAAAGGAGCCAGGGCAGGCAGCCATTGGCCAAAGGCCATTAGGAGACTGAAGAGTGTTAGGGAGCCTCCGTGTGTGCTAAAGTTTGCATCACCACTGTCCTTCAATAGAAAGGGATTTCAACATGATGGGGAGGAGGGAGGTCAAGGCCCCCAGGGCTAGAATGGGACATGTCAAGCGTAAAGACATTGAAACGGGTCCCAGAGAGATGGCCTGCTCATGGTGGGAAGGCCTGGACGCTCATAAAGGCAGGGGCTACCATGTCTGAAACTGGTGAGAATGGAACTGAATTATCATCAGAGTCTACATATGCCAACAAAATAAAAATAGAATTTTTTATGCCTGTCTGATTTTTTGAATAATTCTATATTAAATTTTGATGAGAGTAAGGATGGGAAATGTGTCTAGCATAAAATGGATAATACTTTGGGTACCTAAGCAGAACATTTTCATCTTAAAACTAGCATGACTAAAGTGTAGTCAATCACTTTCTAATTAGATTTGAGGCTCCCTCCACAAGAGGAAATGCATGTCTGGCATGGTAAACCCCATGGCTGGGGAGAGCATAGGCCTAGTGAAGAACCTACTCCTGTTGTTTTGCTAAACAGACATGATGTGAAGCTGACTTCTAAATATTTACTCCCAAATGGCTAATGTATGTTATAACCTAGGTTGAAGAAGATCCTGTCTGTAGTGGGCGATGGCAATGCAGAGACTCATAGCTGATCAGAGTGCTGAGGATAAGTGATGGCTGAGTGCCTATCCCTAAATGGAACGTTCCTATCTCCTCGAACATTCAGAAACAAGGTGGAAGAGAGGGTGGAAAGAATACAAGAAGAGCCAGAATGGAAGCCTGCTGTTGAATGCTGTCTTCTGGTTATGACATGGCACTGCACCCATCAATCCACAGGAGCTTTGGCTCTCTGCATGATATCTGCACAAGGTTGGGCCCATCAGTGTTTTCATTATGGATAGGAGAGAGCCTCATAACATCCCACTCTCCCTGAGGAACTGCAGGCAATAAATGGTCAGTTACAACTTCATTCAAATAAGTAACCCCCTTACCCGTGTTCATGCAAGCAACTGTAATTAAATGCAGTGGATTATCCACACAAAGAAACACATAAAAGTGAGAGGGAGGACTTACTAGAAAAAAGGAGGGCTTGATGGAGATGGGAGGGAGATAAGGGAGGATAGCAGAGCATGTAACCAAGCATGTGTGTGTGTGTGTGTGTGTGTGCGTGTGTGTATAACAGGACATACAACCAAGCATGTGGAGTGTGTGCATGTGTGTGTGTGTGTGTGTGTGTGTGTGTGTGTGTGACAGGGCACGTAACCAAGTATGTGGTGTGTGTGTGTGTGTTTGTGTAATAACAGGGCATGTAACCAAGCATGTATGTGTGTGTAACAGGACATATAACCAAGCATGTGATGTGTGTGTGTGTGTGTGTGTATGTGTGTGTGTAATAACAGGGCATGTAACCAAGCATGTATGTGTGTGTAACAGGACATATAACCAAGCATGTGATGTGTGTGTGTGTGTGTGTGTGTGTGTGTGTATAACAGCGCATGTAACTAAGCATGGGGGTGTGGGTGGATGTATTTGTGTGTGTGCATGCATGTGCATGTGTTGTAAATGAATTAATTAAAATATAGATACTTTTAAACCATTTTGGCAAGTGATAATAAATATGTATTACATAGGGAAAATGTGGCCAGAACCCAAATGATTTGGTGTACTTGTAGTTCCTGTAGGGAGGTCCACGGGGTTGATGGATGCAGCTCACCTGAGTCTTAGAATCAGGTCTCAGCCAGGGAAGGACACCAGAGCGCCTCAGATCTGCCATCCGGGTGTTGAGTTTGTGAGCGAGTACAATGGTAAGGGGCATGCATTCCTCCGTCTCATCAGTGGCATAGCCAAACATCAGACCCTGGAATAGGACAACTGCCTTAGAACTCAGGACAGCAATATTCTCCAAATCTCTTCCTTTGTTTGGTTCTTCAACAGTTATTCAGTATCTCTCACACACAGAGAACACTGCTAAGTTTGGCATTTTAGGAGAAGACATTGCCTCTGACCCCCAACACTCTGGAAGGAGGACACAAGCCTACATCTGTCATCATCAATCACAGGCTTCTACCACACAGCCTGACATTGCTGCCAGGTAGCACTGCTCAACTTACTGCAGGCATGATCCTCCCCAAATAGCCAGAGTGATGAGACCACCCAAGAGTGTAATTAACTCAGCAAGCTTCTCCTCATGGATCATAGCTCAGTCCAAACACAAAACACTCGTCCACCCCTCACACAGTTGACATACCTGATCTCCTGCACCAACATCCTCTTCAGTTCTGTCTAGGTGGACACACTGGGCAATATCTGGGGACTGTTGCTCCAGAGCCACTAGCACATTGCAGGTCTTGAAGTCGAAGCCTGGGCAGAAGCAAGCCGAGCAGGGACAGGTGTCAAGACAGAACTATAAGTTTCTTGGTGGACTTCTCAGTTACTGCTGTGGCATTTAGTGTTAGGGGTGGTAGCCTCTGGTTCACAGTTGAGGCCCAGGTTGTTGAAAGACCACATATTAGCCTTCATGGTCATGTAGAACTCTTTTAAAAGAGAAGATTCTCCATGATATATTTTACTGTATTCAATTATACCTTGGTTAAAAAAAAGTATATCCTACACAGAAATGGGACAACCCACAACAACGGTACAAACCAGACAGCATCAAGGATATTCTGACTGACGAACAGGTGAGCAACATATGGTCTTACACCCCTAGGTATCCCAGAGAACCCTCCAGAACCCCACTTGAAAATCAAAGCACTAGTAGGACATGGTGCCTGCTGTAATCCCAGCACTTTTGAAGTGAAAACAGGGGGCCACTCTTGGCTAATCTAGACTACTTTGAACCCTGTCTAAGAGAAAGGAAAAGAAAGAGAAAGGGGGATGAATATAGGGAGGGAGGGAAAACGAGAGGGACAGAGGAACAGAGGGAGAAAAGAGAGAATTATCACCGCAGTGATTGAAAATCAAGGGTCTTTCAAATGTTGTCATTTAGAAGCCCAACTATATGCCTTACACATATGTGTGAGTATATTTACTATTTACAAACATGCTGAATAATAAGTACCATGTATATGAACCATCAAGAGAGACTCCTAGAGTTGGGATCCTATGACAAAGCTACAACTCTGAGACCAAGTTCCCATCTGCAAAGCTGCAGTATAGAGTTGAGGTGCACCTCTGCACGCTATGCGCTTATTCAAGGAAGCCTCACGAACAGCTACCCCAGTCAGGGAGCCAGAACTCCTTTAGACAACAAACTTAGGTCTAGCCTTAAGCATGTGTACTTTTCCACCTCCCCTACATATCTCTGGATGAAATGTTCCTCTTCCGGCTCCGCCCCCAACACCTAAACTTGACTAGCTCCCAGTTAGCGTCCTTGGACATTGACCCATGCAATTCTACTCCCGTGTTGCATAAGATGAAAAGAGATTCACATAGAAAACCTCAGAGTTGGTCATTTGAGGCCAAGCAGTCCCTCTACCCCAAGCATGTGGCTTTTTTTGTTCTTTGCCTCCTCCTCACCCTCACTATTCTCCAGTGAATGTTTTTGATGTAGAAATCAATGAATAATCTTTAGAGAGGTGCCAAAGGGCTCTGCTCTGTGTATTAAGATTTTTTCATTTTCTCTGATCATTGAGTTGAAATAATAGCTCTTCCCAGTACTGAGTTCAATTTTGCCATAGTTAGGCTCTGTCACTTAGCCCTTTCTAAAGAACATTGTCTTATGAAAAATTTCTTTGCAACCTAATGCAAGGCATGGTATTGAATAAGGTATAGATGCACATGAATAAATTGACTTCTAAGGGTATAACAGGGAGAGGCTATACATAGTAACATCCCAAAATGCTGTTCTTCAGAATGATAAGTTTCTTCTATAATGGTCACTCATCTTAAGTGGGAAAATCAACTTGCATGTACTGTTTCTCTTCCCAGACATTCTAAAACATCCCCACACCCCAAGAGGTGGTCTTTCTTGTGACTGTTCTAGGTCAATACATCTGATCTCTGGAAATTGAAAGAAGTCCAACAGAGACACAAAGGGAATTTTTTTAGATAAAAAAATCTGAAAAATTAAAACTGAAATTACATGAATATTTATTGCTAGAAGCTAGTCGAACCTTGAAGAAGTCAAGTCTGAGCCCTTTCCAGGAAACTGGTATGGATAATGGGCAAATGGAAGCCCTCCCAAAATGCCTTTCAAACAGGTGCCATGCCCTAGGTCTTCTGACACATCCCCAGGCCTAGCCTGAACCTCTTCCCTGGGTCTCTGCTCCTTCATCACCTGGCATGGGTGCTAACCTGGGCTTCACAGTCTCTTTCACCTGTAATTAGGCCCAGGTGCTTGAAAATGAAGCCTCATTTTCTGTATCTATAGTGAAATACAGTATAGCTCAGTGAAAAGTACAGGAACACCCACCCTGGTGTTGTCTCACTGTGTTTATAATCTAAGACGGTATATCCTTATTTGCATAAAAAACACTCCAGGGTATTCTGGAATGATGAAGTCAGATGACATAAGCAGACACTAGCACCTGTGATTGGCACAGAGCATGTTGTCACTGGAGGGCTGCCCCCTTCATTAGGAGCTTCATTCAAACTTCTGCCAGCACAGGGACAGCAGGACCTTAAATGAGATTTGTCAATAGTGAACAGGTATGTGCTGGTCCCTCCAGCTGTAGTCCTCCACAGAAGGTGACCAGACCTTGGTCTAGGAATGTTTACCCTCCAGACAGGATTTGTACTTCTATAAAACTGAAGGATCAGATTTGATTCAGTATGGAAAATGGATACAGCAGAGACCTACATGTGCATAGACCCAGCAAGCCCATCCTCACCCTTCGCAGAGTCATCATAGCCAATGTGCTTGATGGTGTCTCTCACTACCCGCTGGTAGTCAACCATGGCCACTGAGGTGATCTCCCCACACAGTAACACCATACCTGTCTTGCACACTGTCTCTGTAGGGAAAGGAAGATAGGTAAAAGTCATGGGGCAGCAGACAGAAGTTCAAGTGTCTAGACTTCTCAAAGCAGAGATGGAATGACTCATTAGGGGCTTCATGAGGAGTTTCTAAGAAAGCACAATTGTGCCAACAAAAAGAGCATCTCCAGCATTAATCACTGAGAATGTGCAAGTGTTGATAGAAGAATGAAGCTCTGAAAAGAATGAGTTGTATTTGAGTTTTGTGCAAAGTATGTACTGATTCTGTTATCTTGGACAACATACTTAACCTGTCTTCAGTCATGTAGCTTTCATAATCAACATGATGAATGCATATGACACATCTTCTCCCAATACATACACACACACACACACACACCATGATGCCAGAACATGTAGATCCTGATCCACAGACCAACACAGACCAACTTTCTCAAAAGGAATTTTTAAAGAACTGGAATCATATAAATATTTACTCCCAGAAGTTCTTATGGAATCTTTAAAAACAAGAGCAAGAGCCTCTAGAGAAGGAAAGAAGGTCTTCACAGAGGACAGGACACAGCACAGACAGTGACAGTGCATGCTGGTCTCCATGATGGGGCCTCTTGCACCATAAGGTATGGCAAAAGGCCTGGTGTAAGCAGCACTGTTTCTCCATCAGTAAGGTCAGAGATTGGACATGGACCTTCCACACTCTGGAGTCAAGGGCTATGTTGTGTAACAAAACCTTCTATCAGACAAATATTTGATGCTGGTGAACTTATACCACAAACAACAGTAAAGGTATTTTGCTTACATGGGCCCCAAGAGGCCATGGGTGGATGGCATGGGTGGACAAGGGCTTCAGTGCCTTATTCAACACTGATGGCCTTTTGAAAAGCTGTTGGTTTGGGTATGGATAGTTAATGGAACAGCTGTTCTTTGTTGCTGGTAAATGGAATGCATAAATTAATTTAACATCTGTGGTAGTACCACAAACTAGGAAAGAAAATCAAAGGAGGTAGACATGGATAGCCATCAAATGAGCTTCCAGACAGCCTCAAGCATTTCCAGCTCTTCACTTTCTCTGAAGGATTCATCTAAGAACTTAGAAAGGCATCCCCCAAACCCCCAGCTCCCAGTGAAACCTTTGCTAGGGAGTCCATGTTCCCACCAAGCACTCTGCTAGTTTTGGTGGTGATGACATCTAACATCAACTCCTAGGTGAGGAATCTGTTTCATCGTTAGAGATGGTTTCTGCCCTGATACACCATAAGAAAGTCACTTAAAGAAGAACTATCCTGTAGACAGGAGGACATTGACTTTGAACTTGAATATGACTCTATGATCTGTGGGCACCATGAACTTTGTCCAGCATACTCAAGTCTCCAGTAAAAAAGGGAACTTGTCTCTTACCACAGGCAACCTTGGCATTGGGGTCTTGCTTAAGGTGGGCATCCAGCACTGCATCACTAATCTGGTCACAGATCTTATCTGGATAAGAACAAACAAGTAACATAATTGATAAGCATGGCAAACTTAAATGCTAAAATAATTAGACAGCTTATGAGTCAGCCAACCAAAGCTACCTATCAAAAATAAAAGGAATATTCTCTTACATATAAGAAATGAGAATTATTTTTGCCTAATAAATCCTTTTATAGATTTTGAATTTTTTCCTATTCTTTGACAGTTTCATATACATATACATCATATACATATACATATGCACAATATATGTTGCTCATAACCAATCCCCATTACCCTCTCTTATTTCCCTCCTCTTATTTCCCTTTAAGCCTTTTCTTTAGGGCCCTCCCTCTACTTTGCTGTTTTGTTTTGGTAACTCACTGAGTTTGACTGGTGTTGCCTGCATGAGTGTGGGTGTGCTGTTATGTATCAAAGCATGACGGACTTGCCAGTGACTATACCACAGAGATAAAATGACCTTCCCTTCCTTCACAGCCATTAAGGGCCAATTCAATAACTTCTTGGCTAGGTGTGAGGCCTCATGAGCCCCCAGAGATGAAAAGTATTTGAATTTTTAATTTATTCTAATTCCTACCTCATTTTGGATGGCATGCATTACATAAGTTTATACAATGCCTTAAAAGGAAAATACATTTCAAAGCCAGCTCTTCTAAGAGTCTATGCAGCTCACAATCACATTATTTTAAGTCTTTCATTCCCCAACCTTATTCCCTAGTGCTAACATCTAGAAAAGTTATGGCTCTAGTCTAACATCTTTCATAACATCAGTAAGACTAGGTACTAAGTGACCAGACAAATGCCATATATTGAAGGATCCATAGATGCAAGCTGAAAGAAGCAAAACAAACCCAGGTAGAAGGCAGCACCCATGATTCCCTCCACAAGAGAACCCATAGACACCATTGCTGATCATGAGAACACTACCATAAGCATTTCCCAGATCCTCCCTCTGGTCACTCAGCCTCCTATAAGTCAGATGTCCTGAAAGCTGCACTAAAATGGGGTCTGACAAAGATTCAGCAAGAGCTGAGACCCAACGTTCTTCTGCTGTTTACCTTAAAGGACTCATAGTCTAACATGTAGATCACCAAATGACATTTTGCACAAATTCTCTCCAGCTTTGCAATTAAAGTGTGTCTACTAACAAATTAAGAGATAAAGGTCTCCTATTTAAGAAATTCTGTCTTTCTCTTAATGTTCAAAATGCCCAAAGAGTCTTTTCTTTAAGAGTGTTTTTAAGATTTCTTTTTACTTGTATATATGCAGGTGTGAAATCTGTGTAGACATGTGGGCACAGACATACATGGTATCTAGAAGTAGATGATGGTTCTCTGAAGCTGGAGTGGATGCTGAGAACAAAACCCCAATCTTCTGCAAAAGCAATGAGTGCCCTTACCACTGAGCATCTCTACAGGCCCTGGAGATTACTGTTGAGCATTCAGATCCTGAGTCAAGGAGTTTAGCTATCAAATGTAGGTACTAAGATATTGATTAATTTGTCATTAAAGGTCAGCTTTCTAATTTGAAATAAATGATAGATTTTATTCTATCTATCCTCCTGCCATTGTAGATGCTGGTTTTAAATCTGGGAAGTTGTGAGTCCACAGCCTCTGCCACTCGTATCAGTAAAGGCTTCCTGACATCCTAAAATAAATTACATGGTAGCCAATATTGACCTGTCAGAATGCCTAGAAGCTATCTATAGATAAACTGCAGAAGACATCCAGAAATCCCATTCATTTACAGGGCCCAGCTTACATAAGGTACCACTATGTAGGGAAATACAGGTACAGGGAAAATTTAGCAAGGTCATGAAGATAGTTACTTGATAATTCCTAAATCCCTGAGAGACTTCCCTCTCTCTCCTCCCTCCCCCTCCCATCTTGGATTTTTGAGAGTCACACAATGAAGTTTGCCTTGAACTTGCTCTATAGTCAAGGATAATCTTGATGTCTTAACTCCCCTGTCTCCAGCTTCCAAGTAATGTGATTACAGTTCAAATCTTTTTTTTTTTCCAATCCAGGAGTGAAGCCACTAAATACGGGGCCTTGCACATGCTAGGAGGCAAGCTCTGTCTATCTATACTACTGAGCTACATCAATCCCTGGAAGAGTTTCTTTCTTCGAAGTCTGCTCAGGATTTCAAAGTTTCTATCACATCGTAGGTTTGAGACAGTCATTTAGTCTTTCTAATAATGGAGAATTCCACTATGGAATGGTAAACAGGTCACCAAGCCTTCAAAGAAACCAACCAACTTGGACACTTCATTTATAGTAGAAAGTGAATAGTGAATGAGACAAATTGATAGGCTACTATTAAGGAAGCAAAACAGTCAGTGGGTTGGCAGATGACTTCATGCTCTGTCCACTAAACACACTGCTGTCAGGTGCAATGAGCTCCACTTGAGGCATGTTTCCACTGAGCATGCTCTGGGCATAGTATGTTCTTTAACATATGGGTGACTATCAGAAACTATGGAGCTGCCCAGTGAGTGTCAAGTACCAGAGATATACCTCTGATGAACAGCTGCACTATTGATATTTGAAGCCAAATAATTATTGGTTATGGGGCTCAGTCATGTATTGTGGAATAGTTAGCTGCAGGTCTGGTCTCTACCAAAGAATCTCCAAGAGGATTTTGCCTCCAGGCCCTAGGATATAACAATCAAAAAAATGGTCCTAGACATAACAAAATGCTTCTGAAAGAAGAGAGCCTGGATTACCTTCAGTTGGAGGAACATGGGATAAAGCACACAGGTGTAGTGAATCAAAAAATCCAAAGTCAAGTTTCAAGATATGAAGTTAAATCTCTTGGAGAGAGAAGGAAGGTAGGAAAATTAGTCTTGGTGACAAGTCAACACACACCATATCACCCGGAATGGATGTGAATAAGTTCTCAAGTCCTCAAATCAGTGTGCCTAACCCCAGGGTTCTCCTAGAACGATGGTTATCAACCCCAGAGTTCTTCTATGTCAGTGGTATCTCAATGTGGTGCAGCATACGCAGCACCTCCTAAAAGCTGTTACAAATTAGAATTCTTAAGCATCTACCTATCTAGACCTACCAAATTGGACACTATAGGAGTAAGCTCCAGCCCTTGGCTTCATCAAGCCTTGTGGTGTGATGCCTCTGCACTACACAGCTTGACAACCTCTGTCCTAAAATTGGAGCTTGTGACTACCTGCTCATGGTTCTGTCACTGTCTCTAGCTTCACATCACAATCTGTCCTCCTTTCAAGGACCAAAACAATGCTTGATGGTTCCTCTATAGCAGTAGTTCTCAACCTTCCTGATGCTGTGACCTTTAAATACAGTTCTTCATGTTGTGGGAACTCCCAACCATAAAATTATTTTCATTGCTACTTCATAACTGTAATTTTGCTACTGTTATGGATAATTCATAACAGTGTTTTCTGATGGTCTTAGGCGACCCCTGTGAAAGGGTTGTCTGACCCCTAAGGAGTCGAGACCTACAGGTAGAGAAACACTGCTCTTTAGAAGTTTGTACTGTATCAGAAAGCATCTCTGAGATCCTTGCCATCTGGAGCTCTGTCTCAGCACCCATTAGAATGCAGTGCTATTCCTTTCTAACCTGTGCATGGTTCATGTGCAAAACCTGTTCCTATTTGAGAACCATTCTCCACTGATTTTAATAGGTCACTAGTAATAGATGAAAGCTTTACTCAAAAATATATTATTTAGTTTAATTCTGTTAGTACACATGGTACATAGCAACAAGCCCCTTGTTGCTGAGATGCTGAGTGGGCAGCATCATGGACCTAGGCTTCAAGATGAGTGACAGCTTTACAATCAGCTCGCACTTTCTGCAAAGAGTCTCTACTTACAGCAGTTGCTTGTATGAACCTTGTTTTTAAGGTACTTAGTAAAAGTGACTCTCTGGGCACAGGCTGGGGAAGGCAGGCTTGTCCCAGTTCAGGACAACCTACTTACCTGGATGCCCCTCTCCTACAGATTCTGATGTGAACATGAAGGCTCCCTCTTCACTTAGAGAATGGTCACACAAGCCATCCACAGGTCCATTCATTGTGTCACACTTTTCGACTTCACTTCTCCAAGGTGACAACTTCAAAGCTGAAACGTTGTCTGTAGTTTCTTTCTTTTTTTTTTTTCCTTTTTCTTTTTTTCCTCCCCCTACAAACCCAACAGGCAGATCTTTGGCAGAATCACGAAGCGATGACTTCTGCCTAAGAGCCTATGAGCATATGAGGGCAGGGTAAGGATGGACAAAAAGGGAGAGAGTGGATGGAATACAGATGTGTCACTCCCGGCTGGTCACAGCTTGCTCCCAGGTGACTCCTATATATGGAAAAGTGAAAGTGCCTGAATAACCAAGTAAGGACAATGGAGGAGTCCATTTCCTGGGAGGGGAGTCTTTTTACCTTGAGGAATTTCAGCCTTCAGCTCTGATGTCTCAAGTGGGAAGCCTGTAGTCCATGAGAAACAAGGAAGGCTGGTTAGCCTCTCGGACCGGAAGTGCCTCTCGGACTTCCTTCAACTCCTTAGCTGGTCTCTGAGTGGTTCCTGGGACACCGTCCCACTCTGGAGATTTGGGGACCTGGAGTTACCCACAGGCAGCCAGAAACTCTCCTAGAGATTTGGTATGGGCTAAGGTTGCAACACTGTGCAGCTCTGTTGTGAATGCTTCCCTCCACCCCCACACCTGATCTGGATCGGGCTCACCCCCTCTACCTTCTCAGGGCAGAACAGGAGCCAAGAGCATGCACCTGTACTCTGAACCAGCTGTACCATTACACAACGCATTTGTTTTAGTTCGAGGGAAATCTTTGACGTCCGCATTTTTTTTTCCTGCCACAAGAAATTACCTAAGCTGTCAATATCTCTAAGAGACCTGCAAACAAATTAACAAGCTAGAGGTTTGGTAGTGACAGTGGTGGGTGATCCAGGACACAAAGATTATTACTTTTTTAAAATGGAATGTGAGAAACAGGTCCATTATGTGCAAATTAGTTTACATGTGATAAACTTCCGTGAATTCAGTTTTGTTCCTCTCATAAACCCCCAGTTCCTATACCTTCCTCATTCTTTTTGCTTTGCCCAAGGAAAGGAGTATGCAGGATTGATAGTCTCCTTCATTAGCTTGTGTCATTGATGATAGCGTCTGTCCGCAGCTTTTCTCCTACTCTCAGATCTACGATATTTGAATAATGGGGAGTTAGGATCAGACAGGAGAATGGTAAGAAACCAGTTCCTTTTAGAACACAATAAAAAGTAACCAACCAAAACTTTGTGCATACAGAGTGGACTCGCAGAAGCTCGAAACAAGAGGAAGCGATGTCCAAAACAACTAACCTTAGTGACTAAAACCTCCCCTGCACCTTTACAGGCAGTTAATACATTTTTTTCCTGTGCTCCAAACCTTGAGGTTAGTTAATCAACACATTCACTCTAGGAACTTAAAACTATATTAAATCGCTGTGGGATGCTATGAGGCAGCTTGTAAATAAATACGCAGCTATCAAAGCACCTAACAAGAAGTGAGCTAACTTGCTTAGGCACATGACTGCAAGGGGGGTGGGATTGGAAAGAACCACTGGGACGGGACAGAAAAATGAAGGATCAGATTGGAATTTTAGATGAAATGGCCAACACACAAGATCTTTCCTGTTTGTACTGAAAATATTTCAACATCATTGTCTCTTTGTAAATTACTTTTAGGTACATTAGTTTCAAGCCTAGAGACAATACAAGCTAATGTTTAATTTGAACCATAGACCTAGATTATGCCAGCTAGTAGAGCTGTAGCAATTGTGTTAGAAATTTGCTTCAAGTGTGACCTAAAGTCTGAATATCAAGAATCCTTCAAAGTTCTTAGATCCAGCAAGGAGACAGAAAACAAGACACCTCTCTTTAGAATTCCAAAATGAGTAATAACATCATGGGGTAGAAGGTACCAGTTAGAAGATGTCCTTTATAGAGAATTAGGGCTTTCAGAAATGTATGCCACCAATTCAAAGTAAAAGAAGAATCTTGAAGGCAACTGATTCAAGCCTAGCTTCTATGTGAGCTCCGTACAACATGGCCACTAAACATGAGGATGCCTCATGTTTTTTTCATAAAATAAGTAATCAGAACTCACAGAATATGGCAGGTGGCAGTTCAGGCTTCAGGGATGGAGCCTCAGTTTTTTTCTCTAACCTACTACACATCCCAGAGCAAACCTGCATAGCTCTGCAACAGGTGAAATAATTACCTGCCTTATAGAATTACTGTAAGAATGAGATTAGACTGTTTAGGCATCATGAGTTTTTAACATACTGCTAGAAAACAATGCAAAGTTATAAACATTAACAAATATAATTAAATGAGCTATGCATGTATGCATAGTATTCTTCTGAACAAGAATAGAACATTGTACACATGCATATGTTTATTCACATGCACATATTTGCAGTTTGCTCTTTTTCCATATCTATATGTAGCCCACGTTTTCGTATTTGACATACAGATAGATGTTTCTTTTAGCACATGAATAGTATCCCACAGAAGGACTGTACTATATATTATTCAGTTGCTCATTTCATGGTGCTTGAATATTTTTACTTTTCCATTTATATTAACATCATAAATATATTCATCATAAGCATGTTTTGATGAAATATAAAATGGAAATGGATTTGGCTGTTTTCATCTGTAAAGTGAAGCATTCAGGAGGCTGAGGCAAGAGGATTGTGTTTTGGAGGCCAGTTTTGGATTCATAGCAAAATGTTTTCAAGAGGAATGCGGATAAGTTTTGAACTTTAACCCTAGAATTCTATAAGCAGAGGTTAGTGGGCCATTGCAGTGGGTTTGAGAGACCAGAATACTAACATATACAAGGACCTTGGAGGGTTAGTGTCTAAGGTTTTGGAGGACAAGAACTCTATTGGGAGCTGAAGTCATAATATTATATTCTGGAAAAGAGTATGGCTGCATTCTGCCTGTGTCTTGAATATTTGAGTAAGACTACAATTTTTAAAGTGGATTAACTTGTTTAGCATATGAAATTTCAAGATAAGATAGCATGCAGGCTATGTATACATATATACATATATACACACATATACTTGTCTTATCTGAAATATATATATATATATATATATATATATATATATATATATCAGTTTGAAAGTAGTTTGAAAGCAGTTACAATTGTTAAAGAGATCTATACCATTAAATAAACACCCAATGCACTGCAGAGCTACAACAGGTACAACAGGAGAGGGGCAACCAGACATTACCAAAGAAAGCTCTGTGTTGTAAAAACAAAAACGTATTTGGGGAGAGAATCTAAACTGAGAATGCCACTGAAAGAGTTTCCCACATAAAAAGAACTGTCTAGAAAAGTGTCATCCAAGAGTCAGAACACAGAGACTCACAAAGTCTGCTGCAACTCAAGTCCAAGGAGGCCTGGCTGCATACTGGGCTAGCAAAAAGAACTTAGAAGCATTATCCACATAGTACTCCAAGCATGAACAATTCAAAATGAAGTAGCTCTAGATCTTGAATCAATTTCAGAGTGTTCCAATTCTTCCAAACAAATGTTTGGAAGAGTTGGAATCCTGCAACTTGAACATTGGGAACCACTGTGAAAAGTTGGAAAGGTAAAAGCTAAGTTACAATGATGATTCCAGGATGTTGGAGATACAAGAATCAAGGAACACACAGTGTGTGATGTGGTATGCATGGAGTGGGGCTGGGTCAAGAAAGAGGCTGTCTGTGCTGTAAGCAATAAAGCTAGAAAACGTGGCTGCCCAAGCCCTTTGCAGCCCTGATGATTCTGTTATGTGCTCTAGATACTAAACATAGAATTGCCTGATTTGCTCTTCCCCATCTTGGGAATTTGCTTTGCTTTCGTCTTATCTGTCTTTGATATGTGCCTGTCTTCCTTTTTGGAATGAGAATGTTTATGCCATTGTATGTCAGAAGTATATAATTTTTTTTGTTTGCTTGTTTGACTGTGAGGAGCTCATTATTAAGAGGTTGGCTGGATTTTATCAAACAACTCTTAGAGGCAGGAAGATTTCTGAGTTCGAGGCCAGCCCTTGGTCTACAGAGTGAGTGCCAGGACAGCCAGGGCTACACAGAGAAACCCTGTCTCAAAAAAACAAAAATAAAAAAAAAGAACCAAAAAAAAACCTCTTATATGACACATTTTTGAGCAGTGTTGAATTATTAAAGACTGTGATAACTTAAGTTAGACTATGTTCATTTTGTATGATGAGATGTCCGTGTGCCTAAGGAGACAAAGACTAGGAGGCTTAAAGTGATGTGCTTGGGTATAAAGTTGACAAGAGGTAGAGTTTTAATGGTTAATCTTGTCAACCTGATGGGATGTAGAATCATCATGTGAACAAACCCCTGGGTGAAGTGGAAGATCTGGTTGTGTCATGTGATTCAGACTCATGTGGTGTTTTGCTGAGGTCACGTGAGGTTTGGAGATCATATAAACGGGACTCGGCATACAGTGATGGGCCACTTGCATAGATAACTGTGCAACTCTTCATCGGTCTCTCGTCTTCTCTGATCTTCACTTCATTGAGAGAAGCACAGCAGAGAACTCCTGGCACTCCAGCTGATGCTGGTTGCTCCCACTGAGTCCTGCCAATTCAGCAGAGGCTTGGTGGTTTCTGCCGGACCATGATGCTGTTTGGTGACACTTTTGAAATGGACTGTTGCTATCCTGACAACAGAGACTGGAATCGCCTCAAAGAATACGTCTAAACAACACAACATCCCTTTGTCCTATATACCATCTTTTCTTCCCTAACTTTAGGGAGTAGGTTTTTAAAAATATAAGCCTACAACTTAGAATACCTATTGAGTCAGTTTCTAGGTTATGTTGGGAGCACTATTCCATGGGGTCCTGATATAACATGACCAGCTGCCTCAGGTTCCTGCTGCTATGCTTATCATCCAGTGAGAAGTAAAACAAAGAATACTACATGATGCTTAAGCTATAGAAAGAATTAGTAACTACATTCAAATTTTAAAATTGACTTCCTGAGTCTTTCTTATAGAGAAAACCTTGCAGGAAGGCTAAATTTGGACACCAAATAACCTGGCAACCTGGCAACAAAAGTGGCTGATTTTGAAAGAGGAACAAATTGCTCCCCCTCAACCAGTTAATTCATATTTCCTAGAGAGAACCCACTTTCGTAATCCTAGTTACTATTATTCTGAGTCTAGAGTTACGTCAGAAAGCCTTGGCCTTTCTAAGCCAGATCAGTGCTGGGGGTCAAGATTTAAATAGAAGTCCTCCAGTTTTTCTGGAAACCTGTCTCTGAATTGCCCATATAGATATCCATTCATCCATCATTCTTCCATTCTATACATTCTCTGAATGTGATTTAAACACCTGCCATAGACAAACCCCATGATAGGCTCTCTACAGTAAAAGGACCTGATGCAACATAAAAAAAAGATACTAAGCCCAGGAGTTACAAATGCATGAAATTTTAGGGACACTTCTGGTGTTCTATGAGGCTGGGTCATGGAGTATCATCTAGTAGACAGCCAGAGAGTATCAGAGGAGGAGTCAGGAGCTATACCAAAAAGAACTCTCTGAGTTCTATAAGTAGTTTAGTTTAGTCTTGATGACAGAG